TTTAAATCAGTGCTTCAACACACACTTGGGAGATCAGTGTCATAGGGTAATGTTTTTTTTAAAAGATCTCTGAAAAAAATGTCGTGTCACTTCAAGGGATTAAATACCAATTTTACTAAGAAATAAGGACAAGATTACAAATGTAAGCATTTTTGTAAGATGTTTAACTTGTTCTTGTCTTCCTCCTTTTTCATTCAGTTTACTAGATCCAAACCAGACACATTTTATGAGGGATATTTTAGCAAGGTAGGTGAAATACTCTGGTTTTATTTAAAATATTTCTCCACAAAAATTAGGTGGGCTGTTCTGACATAATTTGTGTTACAGGTGCTGAACTAAGTTTCTCTTTATTAATTTGTTTTCTTCTTTGGCAGTGTAAAATTTACTAAAGTTTAGAGATTAGTTTAGGATCTACTTAACAGCAACAGTTAATGCATGTGTATTAAAGGCTTTGAACCATACAGGCACATTTCAGAACTGTAGCATTCTGATTTTTCTCCTCTTGGAGGGAACACTAAACTGGGGACTAGTTGGAAACAATAGTAAGGTATAATGGGGACAGCCCAAGGGTATGAGCACATTTTCAGTTGTCTGTAAAGCAACCCTGTGAAAGCCACTGATCCTCCCTGCCACAGAGTTGTTCAGAAGTTGCTGGGTTTTATCACTCTTGGGATTCCATTTGGTAATGATGTTGAGAATTCACTCCAGGTTTTTGTTTTTTTTTTCTATACATCACAATTACTCTATTCTCGGTGGCTTGACAAAGCACAAACATAAACTAAAAATTGCACCTTGCTCTCTTCTTTTTGTCCTCCAAGGATTTTGGTATGAGTGGTATCAGAGTTGGAGTATTGTACACCAGAAATTGTGAAATTCAGAAAGTTGTGAACTGGTTTTCCATACCTGTCCTGGACCTGTTCTACACGTTCTCAGTCAATTCCTTAGGGACAGAGGCTGGCCACACTAGAAATCTTTCCACTGAACAGTTTCCTTGCAGGTGGAAGTAAAACAATTCTATTTTTCTTGCTTTGCTAAGATTGTTTGGGTAATGTGTTTTTTCCCAGCAACAAAAAGTGACTTAGCAATCAAGGAATATTCTTGTGGGTGGGTTGCAGATGTTGGAATACCTGTGCTCAGAAGTTTGGGAGGACTCTCTGTTTGGGCAGACTTCAGAAAAGAATGTAAGAAGTTTGAAAAGGGGTGGGATTGTAAAACTAGGAAGTGTAAAAATTATTTGTGCATGTTGTTACACACTTTTATCAAGTCCTGGAAAATCCTTTCAGTGAATTTATGCACTTGTTCAACCTTTAATAGAAAAATATTTTCTCCTTTTAGTTCTTAAAATCACAGTTTTGAAGCCAAACATGAGTTATGGCAGAAGCTTCTTGATAAAAAACTCCTGATTAGTCCTGGAAAAGCTTTTTATTGTTATGGACCTGGATGGTTTAGACTGGTTTTCTCTGATTCTGTAGACAGGATTTACTTGTGTAAGTGGGTTTTACTTCTAATATGCCATGTAGTGGTACACAGGTTTTAAGAAACATTAACATTATAAATAATAAGTTCAAACCTAATTATTCTGTCTCAGCTTGTGAGGGGCATTTTTAGAGTTTATATGAGAAATATTAGATTGGCCCAGGGCATAGGTTACAAAGCACTTACATTGGATTATGTTAAACCTCTAAAGCCTTCAGAATTTAATTTTAAAGTGTATTTTTACTCTATCAGAAGTAAGGAACCAAAGTTTATGTGAAAAGATTTTTCTCTTTCAAATTATGCTTTATAACTTGGGAATTCCCCACCATCTCTCATTTTTATGTGGCTCATGGTGGATGTGAAAAATGTACCCATCTCTTATGTTGTAAAATACTTAACCTTGAACAAATGCTTTATATTGTTGGCAAAGAAGATATTTGTTTATATAGAGCATATAAAGTTATAGAAAAATGTATTGAAAGGGAACTCTTGGGTCATCTAGTACAACTTCCTGCTCAAGGCAGGGCCAGTTTCTGTCAGGTTGTCAGTCAAGTTTTGAGACTGTCTAACGATAGAGATTATGCAACCTCCCTTAGGAATCCATTTCAGTGTTTAGTCACTCTTGTGGAGATTTTTTTTTTTCCATAGGTCAGTATTTCCCTCTGTATCTCCTTTCTCCAGGTATTTAGAGACTTAAGCAAATGTGGCACAGTTACTTTGCTGAGCCAGTCACAAACAACACATCATCTACTGCAGATGCTTTATGCAATCCACAAAAAGATTCTTCAGGCAAACCTTCAAACACACCAGGAAAAGATGTCTCCCAGCCAAAAAATATACTCATTTATTAAAATCGTATATGCATTTACTGACTTGACATAGTTTAGCATCAGGTGTGTATGACTTCAGTATTTTTGTCCGTAACGTTGTGTAACGCCCTCGCTTTGCTGTGACCTGGCATTAAGAATCTTGCAAGTGGACTTGCTGAAGTTGAATTTTAAGGAAAACGGACCTCCTGGATATTGTGAAATTAGCCACTGTTAAGCACAGCACTTGCTTTTACTCCATTTCAAGTGTGCTATGTGTCAGTAAAATCAGTGAGTCTTCATATATAGTTGTTGAATTATGAAATTTTGAAAACACTGGCAAAATGGTTGTGCATATTACTGTATATTATGGACTATATTTTAATCAGACTACTGAAAGTACTGAATCAGGTGATACTAAGATTTTGCTAAACTTTTGTAGCTGGCAAAATGATTTTGTATATTCATGAGATCTCTCTAAACAGACACTCTCAAACATTTTATACACCTTCTGTATATGCATGCTGAGTACTTTCTGAAAAATCATTTAGACTTTGGGCTTCTGGCCTCCCTTTCTGATTATTTCTATGTGCCTGTGTTCATCAGATAGTGTTTTCATACATTAACTATGAAAAACCCTTGAAGGTCTTGAATTGCATCTTCCCAAACCAAATAATTATCTATTGCAGTTAGGTAACAGAACTGAGGCAGATTCACATTTGTTTACTACGGCATTTTATTGTGCAGTTCTTTTTGCATTTTTCTTTTTGAAAATCTAATCAGAATACACCTTTCTTAAATTTAGTGCTGCTGGTGATTCAAGTGCAGCAAGGAATGCCATTTCTATTTGATTCTGGCTTTCATTTCACAGTGGCAATGCTCACAGTTCTTTGCTTTTTCTTCCTTAAGTTCCAGGTTACATATCCCCTACCTGGAGCTCTGCTCTTTGCTACTAGAACATTCATACAGCATACTATTTTTCATAAAACATTATTTTGCTCCAAACTCTTCTTTTTTGCTTAAGCTTTCAAACTACATGTCTAATGCAAGCCTGCAGTCAGTCCCCTCTCAGGTGGGGCCTGCTGTTCGACAGAGGAGGGTGCCAAGATGTGTGTATCAGCAGGTCATTCTGTAAGACAACTTCAAATCATAAATCATACATTGATATTTCTTTAAATTGTCCCTTTTATATTACAATTTACTGACAAGGCAAACAGGAAGCAAGTACTTTTCATTTGGTGTAAATTGTAGAAACTCAAAAAAGCAAAACTGAATGTAAGTATTGTTTTCTTCCCTCTTCCTACAAGGATTTGACAAGGAAAGCAACTGAACTTGAAAGTCAGCCCATAGAACAGCAAAGCTCCATGGACTATGCTGAGGCAGCACAGGGACTTTACAGTGATCACAAGTGAAAACCTCATCGACTGCAGAGAGATAGAAAACGTTTGAGTAGAGGGAGTCACTGGTTACTGTAAGTATCTTTTAAGAGTTGGTGGTTTTACCTTCTTAGGGTTGTTAATTTAATAAAGATAAATTGGCAAAAAAGAAATCTAAGGTAAGGAGGTGGTCAGGAGTGAGGTCACCTTGGGATTGATTACTGAACATGGGCACACATCTCACATAGGTAGCAATAGAATACTTAAGATTTAACTCTTTATTAGCAGTATATTGGTAATTTCTGAGCATTTTGAACTATTGACAATATCCCTTAAATTTAGCACCTATGTTGCCTATTCTTCCTGGTATTTGAAGAGGGCAGAGCTGAGGCTGCAGACTGAAAGAAATGTATCTGGTTCCTGATGTCACTGGTCCCACTGTATTAGAAGTTGTCCATAACCAAGACTTTCAAAATGTATTTCATCTTAAATCAAAGCTTCTAATGAAGTTAAAACATAAGCCTAGTGCAATTATAGACTATATACAATATACTAAAGTTGATGTAGGGCTTCTGGGTGCCATGGTCACATATGTCCAAAAAAGCACCAAAAATCTGAGATGATCTGTAAATATAAATTTAAGGCCACTTACAGCTCTTACCCTTCACAGGCAGCAAGAACCACTAACCACAGGGAAATCAGGCCATACAGGCATATCTCAGGGGTTGGAGCTGACTGGCTTGTAAAAAGTTTAGTGCAGGGATCTTTAACATTGGTATTTTAGTATGTGCCATTTTTCCCATTCTGCTATTTAAATATTTTCATTGGTATACTGAGACTGTTGATATATAAAACTAGTCTTTATTTCCCTTAGCAAGTGTTTTTTTCATTTGAAGTGCTTAAGGATTCTTTTCTTACCATCATTAACTGTAAAGACTGAAAAAACAATTTAAAATCAGTTTTAAGAGACCAAGCTAACATACACACACACACACACACACACACACACAAAAATAATAGCAATATGAAACTCACATCACATGTCAGTGTTGGCTTGCTCGGGAAATGAAGATACATTTCTGCCATGAGAATGCCAGGATGACAAAACCAAACAACATTAATTTTTAAATCTGCATCCAGCTTTCCAAAAAATTTATCCCCTTATATAAGCAAAGTTTAGTAGGAAGCTACATACATAGGTCCACGTTTTAGATTCAGCTGAAAAAAATTCCCTTAAAAGTTGACTGTTAAATAGAGTACTGCCTTGGGGATGATAGGTTGTAGTCTGAAGAAGAGAAATCTAAGTAGATCACTCCTCTCCAGTGCAACAGGAAAGTGTTAATTGCATCACTGACCAAGTTTAGTGTTTATTTGAAACTAGTCTTAAAATTATTTAAGGAGTAAACAAAAACTGCAGTCACAGTAAAATACATTAAACAAGTACATAAAATGCTGGATGATTAACAGTATGTCTTTTAACACCTCTTCTGGAAAATAAGTTAGAAAATAAGAATGCTAAAGGCAACTTTCAAAGGTGAATTATTTGCTCACCAAACTTGTGGGTTTGTCCCAAAATGAGCAATAACATCTGGAGAACTGAGCACAGAAATGACGCATCAAATGGAAAGAAAACGTTCACTTTAAAGATCTGATATAATTTAAAATAAATAAATACCATAATCCATAAAGTAAAATGAACATTTTATAGTTTTTTTAAACGTCTTGTATAAGGTTCACAGACCTGAGAATACACTCAAAATAATTCTTCTAAAGTATTCCTTTAAAAAAATCATAAATTATTGGTAACAGTTTCTTTAATGGAGATTGCAGGAGTAGGTCCCACATGAGTCCATATATAGCCCTTCTCTGGTCTTGTAGGAACAGTAGGGAAGGGAGATGATCGAGATTTGAAATATTCCGAAGGTGCATGACAAACAAATTCTAAATATTCCATTTTCCTTGGGAGATCTTCTTCTGGTCCTAGGAAAAAAATAAATAATCTTCAAAGCCAAAATTTCAAGGTGTAAAATTGGACTATAAAGGAGTTAAACATATGCGACAGCCAACATTCCTTAGAGAACATGCATTTTCCATCAGTGCCTTCCCTGGCAAAGTAGCCTCAAATACTGAGCAAGAAACCTCTACTTTTATTTTTGCTGGGCTGATTTTTTTTTCCTCCCCATTCAAAGCATTCAGTTATTTGAATCATGTCTTTTAGTTAATGCATTTTAAATAGACACTATTTGTAGCCCTGCCTATTAAAAGGACTTTTCTGAATTGTTAATAATTTTATAATCAATAGCAGAATACTCTCTATGCCATTGCTTGCACACAATGTTATTTTAAGCACTCAAGATGAAGATCAGCCTGTTCAGGTCACTTTAAAAGACAGACCTTGGACTGATATATCAGGTTTATACTGTAATAACTTTGATTCTGTCTATGGAGTAATAATTTGGTCTTTAAAGTTGCAAGAATGTAATTGTGCCTGTGAGCACAAATACTCAATCACACTCACTGCAGAAGTGCTAATGATATTGTATACATAAAATAAATAGAAACTGTTATTGAAGTAAACAAGATGCTTATAGAATTAGGGTCGAAAATTTGGAAATTGCATAAATGATCCTAAGAAATGAAAAGTTCATTAAAAAATACAATTTTACATTAGTATAGGGACATGGAAGTAGTTGTATATAACAAAGGCGAGATTACCTATGATGTAGGATGCTGGGTCAAAACAATCTTTGGGGCTGGCTTGCGTAGGAATGAGCCAGGTTAGCGCAGCACTCTTTTCACAGTATTGGTCCTGAATAAACCCACGGATCTGAGCGTAGTATGTTTTTCCATCCTGCTCATCAACCACTGAAACAACATCTCCAATTTGATAGTATACACCCTAGAAGACATACAAACGGTAATTAAAACAATCTGATTTCAGTAGCTTCACTCTGTGATTCTGATTCATATCTTAAATTACCTCAGATTATCCCAGTCTTGAAAGACAGCCTTAATTCAGCCACATGCAAAAGAACGGTGTTATAAGAATTTAGGGAAAGCAGCTTTCAGTGTATGAAGTTCACTCATCTGAGTGCACAGGAGTCCCAAAACACAGAGGCACCTTCCACGGTGCTCTGTAATGTGTGAGGCTGCGCAGCCAAGGCAACTCACTTTACGTTATAACAGCATCGCAGAGCACAGCACAGTCCCTGCACTATCAAGATCAGAGTTTGCCAAGAATCACCCAGGAGGGTTTTGTTTTTAAAAAAAGATACAAAGAACACAAAAACCCCTCAACAATCCCCTTCTCAACAACACAAAGTACCAAAATAGAAACATTCTGGATAGAAAGATTAGGTTAAATAATTCTTAGGAACTTCTGAAAAAAAACCAAAAGCACACAAGAAAAGACATCAATTCCAAACTAGTCAACAGCAAACAGAGATTCATCTGGGATGCGAGACACGAAGCACAAGGTCTCTAGGGAGCATACAGAAGCTCAGTCTATCACTTCTCTGGCCATGCAGCCTCCAGTGGCTATTTCTTTGGGGGAAACACATTTCAAATGGCTTGTTTGTACTACCAAGAAACAAAAATTTCAGAATTTAAAAACACTAGCAGCTTGGCACGCTGGTAAAAATGCTCTCAAGCATAAATGTGAGAAGGTTAGCTTCTGCTTTCACTGCAGTAGGCGACAGATTCTGTTCCCAGGGTGTTCGAGACTGCTTGCACCCAGCTGTGAAGCAGCAGCCAGTTTAAACGTTAGAGCAGCGCAACCCATCCCCTCTACAGGCAACATTCTGTGTTTAATTGCAGAAGTTACTAAGGAAACCGAATCCATCTTCTTATTGGAAGAAAAATTTAAAAGGGACAATGACAACTATGTAAACTACTGTGGTAAACTACCTTGCCAGACTTAACAGCAATGACGTAAGGCAAAGCAAAATCCTAAACAACTGCCAGGCAAGGAAGAACAGTTTCTGTGAATACATCCCTAGTACTTTCACTGTCTGTGGTAATTTTTGAGATTGGAAATAGAAATGGCAAGATCTTTTTTGGGGACAAACTTGCATAAACCCTACCTTATAAAAGATTGATTCTGCTGTAATTATAGTGGATACAGACTCAGGAGCCTTGATGGGCTAAGGAAAGAACACAGAAATGGAAAATCAAAAGGGTTACAACATACCAACCACGTAAAAGAATTCCAGGTGTTTTGTTTTGTTTTTTTTTTTTTCCTTTTAGACAACACGCTGATACATTATCTTCTTAGAAAGTTAGTAAGCACAAGAAATCGGGGACAAACATTTCAACCGTTTGTACCTCAGAATTAAAACCAACCGAGTTAGTTAACATTTTCATTCTCGGGATTTCAAGTGGAAGAGTACCGAATTCACAGGACTGCTTGCTCTTTCCACAGAAGCCCTTCCCTGACGGGAGGAGCCCGGAGGGCCGGGCGCTGCGCGGGCCGCTGTGTCCCGCAGGCAGGAGCGCTCACGGGACTGAAGCTCTGGCAGCGGTATCAGCCACCTCCTCCCCACGTTTCGGGCCGGTTTTGTGCCAGGAGCCGCAAAACTCCGCGCCGGGCTCCAAGGCGCCGGCAAGGAGAAGCTGGCGGGGCCCCGTGT